ATTCTTTTAACTGCATCTTAAATACTACTGCCTTCAACATATCTGCTAATTCTGTTTTTAATTTACATCAAGAATTTCTTATATTTAACAATCTTAAACTGTACAACTTTTCTCATATACCATCTCTTATTTTTACTTTATCTAGCTTAGTCTCTATTGACCTTGTTTCTACTATTCATAATACTTCTATTTCTTATCATATAGCTATCTCTTTTTTTATTAAATTTCTTCTTTATTCAAACTAACAAATATATAAATAATTATGAATTTTATATTGTATTTCATGTTCAGCACAGCCTTCAATTACATCTTCTACAAACTTCACTTATAATTCTCTTTCTAGTCTACTATTATCTCCTATTTCAATACTACAAATTATTACTAAAATTAATTTTTGAACTATCCAATAGATTAAATATCATACCTCTCTCTTATATATTATTACTAATACCCAAATCTAGGTAAGCTTTGGCCACTCTTGTAGGTTTATATTGCAGATTATATGTCTAAGTCTTTATTCTTCATATATAATTTAAAAGCAAGCTTTTTTTTGTAAAAACTTCAATTGAATTTCAATAAAGTTAAAGGCATGACCTCACTATTAATATTAAAAAAAAAAAAACTAATTACATTTTTTATAAAATTTTTATTCTATTTTAATTAATAAATTTATTATAAAATTTGGATTTCTTACTGTATTTCAAGATCTATAGCTTAACTTTTTAACTATAATTTACTATAAAATCCTGTTTCACTTTTATTATACTTTTTTTTCAATTTAATTAGTTTAAAATTTTACTCTTAGTATATTCAATAGATCAAATATTAAACCAATCTCCTATATATAATTATTAACATCCAAATCTAGATAAGTTTTAACTACTTCTATTAGTTTAAATTACAGATAAATTAATTTGAACTTCTATTCTTTCTATAATATTTTAAAAGTAGTTTTGTACTTTATATAAAATCTTAATTAAATATTTAATAAAAAATAAAAACATGGTCTTATTATTTAATATTATAAAAAAAAATACAATAAATAAAGATTGCATTTAAAATTAGCTTTTACATATTATATATATAATTTCTGATAATCTATTTTCAAGCACTATATAAATATTGTTTGCTTTAAAAATTTTCTAATATAAAATAAAATTTTTAATTTGATAATTTTTAAAAAAAAAATTTATAAAATTTGAAGTTCTTATCTAAATTTATATATAATTATAAATTAATTCTAATTTCTAATCTAATTAAAAAAAACTACAAAAAAGACTGTAAATAAATTTAATAAATAATAATGCTAAAAAATGCTATATATACAGATTTTTAATGACAAAAGTTTTTTAGAATAATAGAGATTACATTAAAAAATAAAAGACAAACCAAATATATATACATCAAATTTTATTAAAGAATAAAATTCAAAATTTACACAATTGTCATACTAAGCTTATAACTTAGAAAGATTAGTAATAATGATTGATTTATTTATTAACTTATTTGGTCTATATCAAAATTCCGAAACTTAAACATTACAACGCGTGACGTCAGGAACCCGGTTATGATAACAGTTGAGTTTGAATATTGGATACCTGGCATCACACGACGAGATAATTAAGTTTCAGAATTTTGATTTTTGGGATTTTGATCTAGATTCGTATCGGATATGTACTTATCACTATGTGCATACATATATGCGTACGTACATAAGCACTGGGATGATAAAATAATCGATTAAATATCATATTGATATATATATTTAATTAATAAATCACGCACAATTTCTAAAGAATGCATCTTGACATTACACTTCTTTTTCTAATTTCTTTTAATTAAAAACTCTTCACACAGAAGTCATTTCTAAAAAGTTACATTTGATTTACAAAAATTTTATTAAAGTTTCAACTTGTACATTTAAATTTTTTTTTCACTTTAATTATTGAAATTTAATTTATTTATCTAATTTATATGTTAATAGAAAATCCGAAAGTGGAACTTTATACTCCAACATTGGATAAGTTACTTGAGAAAATTTCAAGATAATTCTTTGGGGTTTCAATAAGTTGCATCGTTTTAAAATAATTTAATTTTAATAAATATATATATATATCGATAGCATACAATTAATATTTGATAGGTGTAACATAAAAATCTGTATTATATCAAATTTCATAGTTTGCTTATACGTATAGTTTGATTTACTTAGTTGAGTTACTACCCAGTAAGTACGTAATAGAAATGAATACAAATGGTCACTACGTATAAAATCTCAAAGGGTGAAGGTTATACATATGCATAATTCTAAGTTTGGGACTGGATACGTATTAGCAATCTAATACTTTTTAAGTTATTAATATTTTGACATTAATTATTAAATAGGGCTAGTTTCCAAGCCACCCAACAATACATCCCTACTTTATGTGATGCTGGAATACTTATACGTATTAATATTATACGTATGAAATATATATATATACATATATATTACGTATAATGATGATAACGGTCGATGTTACACGTCAAATAAAAAATTGCAAGGGGAAACAAACTTTAACCAATGGAAAATTGGCGTAATTACTTTATTAGATAATGATGGTTAACCATTGTATCCGAAGATATACAGTGCCGATCATAAATAATTGCTTCAAAAAAAAAAAAATTAGTTAGATCGAATTGTTTCACGCAATTCCAGGCGTATCTGTTGACTTTTTTGTTTTAAATGCTAAAATAAAAATTTTAGAAAGTATTAATAGGTCAAATTTTTTACAGGTATGAGCTTTATTTAAAAAAACATGTTGCATTATTTTTGTTCGTTTTAAACATAACAAATATAAAATAAAGAATTTATATATATATATATATATAAATTCTTTTATTTTATTTTATTTTAATAACTTATAATTACTACTGTTTGTTACATTTATTTTGTGTTATATATACTAACATTCTAAATTTTGGTTTTCAAAGAGGCAAATCAAGTCAATATAAGTATCAATGCTGATTTATTGTCAAGTCACCTATATCATGCCTAAAGATCCTTTTCACTCAAAATTGAAATTATCACTTTACTATTATTATTATTATATATTTCTCTTATTATCTAATTAAAAAAAATAACTTTGTGAATAACATATTCATAATCTCTAATGGTGATTTTCACGCTCTTTTGTAAATTCAAGCCAACAATTTTACTTGTATTTACGTCAGTATGAGTTTTTTTTAACATTAACCTGTAGTTTTAATGTATAACATAAATATCATTATTTTTTTTTTATAGGTAAAACTATACTTAACCGACAATTAAGTGACAATCAAAGATTATTCAGTTTAATGTTTTTTTCTGGTTTTGTTCGCACTTAATACGTAGACAATTAACCTTTATTAATTCTTCACGAATGTGATGTACAGTGCCCGATCTGTCACTTTTGTGGCATACCACTTTTACAGCGAAGAAGAAACTCGGAATTTTTTGGATTGTAGCATATACTGATACGTTCTTTTTTTGTTAAAACTTTATTAGGCACTTTATCGTAGTACAGAGATGCAAGAATAACAATGAATTTATGTACATAGGTAGTACAGTAGAAATCATCTGATCTTTGTCAAAACGTGATTTGTAATAAATGCGCAATTATCTTCGCATTGACAATAATAACAGATATTAAAATTTTAATATTCAAAAAAGATAATATTTGCGAATAAAATAAATAAAAATTTGAAAAGAAAAGATCCGGAATTGCGTGAAATATTGCGATCTAAAAAAAAAAAAAATTTTTTTTTTTTGTTGCATTATTTATGATAGCCACTGTATTTAACACGTTATTATCCGGAGTGAATCAATAAAAGTTTATATTAAATTAATTTATAAGGATCAAAGAATACTATAAAGGATAAAGTAAGTTGGTCATATTTTATTATTTATATTGTGAGGCGGTAATAATAAATTAGGAGAGTACATACGCAGCTTATAATTCAATGGTTACAGTTTGTAAGACTAACATATCAGAAAAGTGTAACTGAATGCAAAACTTTAATATTTAGATTGGCCGTTATTTTAGATGATATTGTTTTGAATTTGAAATTGATAGAACTCAGATTGTTTGTATGCACACGTAATATCTTGTAAATATCTTGTAAGGCAATAATCTATTATCTTTTGTATCAAAAAAAAACGTTATCTATACAGTAAAATTTATACAGTTTATTAGCCGCATGTATAGTAAATAGTAACCTTATCAACAATCAAATGTTACATTATGTGGGAAGTATTATTTGCACCATATAGCACCATACTGAGCATTATAACATTCATACTTAACCATTTTTATTTTTTTATTTTTTTTTACTGGACTATATAATTACCGGTTTGGATAATGATAACGCCAAATTCTGGCGTTTTAGTATATAACAGCTGGTACAATAAGTGTAGTTTATTTACAAACTATTTACAAACTATTTACAAACTTTAAAAATTAATAATTTACATGTAAATATTATTATTTTAGAACTGGTAAAATTGTCTTTGAGTCTAAATATTACAGGTTATATAGTCATTTAAAATATTATTATGATTGTACTATTTACAATAAACTAATACGTAGTCATGTTGCTTGATTATTGGAAGAATATGTCGTGATTTATTGAGTTTCACCACTCTGGATATATATATAAACATATATTGAATGAATTTAAGAATTTAGAAATTTAGATGGTTTATTGACAAATACAAATATTTGTGTTGTAAAAGAAGATCAGGTAAAAAAATAAAAACGCCTTTCTTTTTATTTTTTTTTATTGTATTTTAGAGTAACATTAAGTATTAGGTTAAATTTGTATATAACGACAAAAAAAAACCAGTACAGTTCAGAGACGCCTTTTTTTATTTTTTTATTATTATGGGGTAAATTTGTTAACAAGCCATCTCCGTGATACTAATACCTCATAAACCATAAACAGATTAATTCTTAACATTTTTACGAACGAGATTACTCGCAATGGATTTTCTTCGCCAGCAAACACAACCAATTGACTTGCTTTATGCACATAATGTTGACCTATTAAGTGAACATTTGTTACAACTCAGGAGAACTAGAGGAGGTCCTTTACCAAAAATGAATGGAAAAAAACTGTTTTGCAAAGTATTTGAGCTTCGTTGCCTACAAGCTGCTATACAGATTACACCAAGAGAAGTTGGAGAATTCATTAAAAATGAACGCTGGAGAAGTACAGATCCTACAGAGCGATATCAATACAATCTTTATGCAAAAGCAGCAAATGAAGAGAACGAACGAATGTTTATGGCAACAATTGACATCAATGGACCTATGAATGTTAATGAAGAAGATAATTCAGACGATAATGGAGAAAATAATCCAAGTCGCAACGGAGGTGCGCTTAATGACTTTTTTAATGGGACTAATTCCGCAATTGGTCAATAAATAATAAATTAAGAAATTCCCTTAAATTCGAGCTAAGATTAATTAAGATTAGTAATCTCAAATGAATAGGAAGTTTTGGCCTGGGTGGGTCAAGTTGGATATCGTTAAATAAATGCAATTAAGTTTTTTGTTCTCTTTAAATAAGATTTAACTTGGTTTTGTTGGCTTAATTCATTCAAGAGTAAAAGAAGAATAATAATCAATAATTACACTGTAAATAAACCAAAATTTTATGTTATCACGTTGCGGCAACGAGTATGTTTGTCAACAAAAATTTAATAAATTCTCTACGCAAAAATAAGAAATCATGTGATCCGTATATTTATTTCTATAATTTATTTGTTATTTTTTGTTTAATCCTCCGTAGCGTAGCAACAGATTTCATGATAAAGAAAACAAAACTTGATCAAAAAAAAAGTGCGTACGTACGTACGTACGTACATAACGCTTTGACAAGAGCTTAAAAAAAAATATGGTTTAGACTCGTTATTTGATACCATGTGCGTTTATGTTATTTATTGTTTATTTGGTCTTATGTTATATAAACAAATAAAAACAAAAGTATATTTCACTACTAGTTATTTAACTGGTTATCTTAGCGCATATAGATTGTGATGCACATTTTCATATATTCTAGATATAGGAAAGAACTTCGTTATCATGAGGAAAAAATATTTTTCAAACGCCTTTATTCTGTTATCGGTTACCAGTTAAAATTTTTTTTTCGATTATCGGCAAATCAGTTATTTTTTGAGTTACGCGCTTTTTTTTTTCTCTCAATCGCAATGTTTTTTTTTAGTGTCCAAATTACTGGATTTAATGTAACACTAGATTATCTGATGACCAAGGACAATCATAACTTTAAGTTCGAATTCGAAATACTTTGACAAGTTAACGTCCAATTAAGCGTTATTCAGATTCCATATGCATATCTGAAGGGTAAGAATCAATATACAGTTTATCAATATTACAACAAGTTTAATAACTTCTGACCTTTGTAAAACATAAATGTTTAATGATCTTAGCTGTTTTACCTTTATTTGGACAAATTTTGTTTGTTATTTTGTTTTTGTTTTTTTTTATTGCAATGAAAAATTTTTCAAGTAGAAAAGAAATTAAAAAATGTCAATTGCAGCAGTTGATCTATAATAAATTTTAGCGCCTACTTTTTATCATTACTTTTTATGTAAATATGGCGGTTTTTTTTGACAATCAAATCCAAGGAGTGAGAATCCAAAGTCCGTTTCTGCCTAAATACTCGACGGTTATTACAAATTCAAGACTGCATGCATTTACTGTGAGAATAAAAAGGTGCATAATTTGACTAAAAAACCATTTAAAACCGTTTGGATTGTGATTAGTATGTATGCATACTATTATCACATTTATACTTGAGTTCATGAAATATTTGAAAAAGTATTATCTAATAATATAATCAAGAAATTAAACTTTGTTATCATCTATTGACAATTGGTGCTTTACGCTCTACTAATGTTAATCATTTATCATGCCAGTTAAAAGATCCGGATTAAATCCGGCACTGTTTGTTTGTGGGGACATCTGTATTAAAAAGTGCGGGAATTTATCTATGCAACAATAAGAATCGAATTTGTCACAACCGTATCAGTATGTACATATGTACGTACGTACATAAACGTACGTACGACGCACCTATGTAGTAGTGTGTAAGGATTGGAACCGCCTAAAATTTTTCTTAATCGTTTAATCGTTTAATTTGGCTGGCATTAAAATAATTCCGGCCCACGACCAACATGGTTCTGCCCGGAACTATGGTGCAATTTTTAACCGATTAAACGGTTCCAATCTCACGTTTATAAAATTTTTATGATTGACACACTTAATTTTATATAAAAATCCAAGAAAAATATGCGTTTATCAATTTTTTTACGATTTGCACATTTGTTTATTAGTGACGCACCTTATTTGATCAAATCAATTCCCCTGAAATTGCTGCCCTAAAAATTTGTGAGAACCTTAAAAATTTAAGTGCGACAATCATTTGACTCAATTAAAAATTTTACGTGACACTGATACGTACGTACGTACGTACATACGCTGATACCAGATATCGATATCGATACCGATATCGATATGCGATAGATAACAAATATTCCGAATATCGTTTAACTGTAGTACTCGTACAACTTTAATTCTTTGAGTATTTTACCGTATACATGCGTTGTTGATCTCTAACATATTCTTATGTAGTCTTATTTATCCTTACTAACGCTAACGCTAACGCTAATACTAACGCTAACACTAACGCTAACGCTAATAATTAAATTCATAAATACTTGGGGAAGTTACGTTATGTATCTTTTTGTACTAGAAACTTACCAATTTGGACATAATCACATACGTTCATTATCTAGACTAATTTACTAAATATTGATAAATTTACCTGGTACGTAATGTACTATACGTAATGAAGAATATAAATAGTATATTCTGTTTTGGATATGCAGGGTCAACTATCACGCTAGCATTAACGTTAGATCTTAAATTTAATGAGAGCCAATCAATTACGATAAACTACCCTACGTTATGTAACATATGAAATCTATGCTATTATAGTTATATGATTACGTATATATTTTTAATGCTTAATACATATACATATGCATTAAAATAAAGTAATCTAATAATCATTTGTATAATTTTGATTATATGGCTTAGACACCTCCCAACTCCAAACTTAGTTAAACTTAGTCAAACTTAGTTAAACTTAGTTAAACTTAGTTAAACTTAGTCAAACTTAGTTAAACTTGGTTAAACTTTGTTTAACTTAATTGTGAATAAAAAATATGTTTATAAATTGATATGTAAAATGTTATGTAATACGTATGTTAAAAATACGATTTTACATTTCTTATAAAAATTTCCATTCCAGTATAAATCTATATGTGGATTAGTAAAATTATACGGAATTAATTCTGAAAATTCACCAAATGTATCTTGCCAAGGGAATAATACATTATTCACGTGAGAATCTGATTGGCAAATAAAAATGATATTTACATACATACCTGATACATACGTACGTACGTACAAACGAACGAACTTAAGTAATAACAATGTTAAATATACTGTATAATGTTAATAAAGAGCCAAAATAGTAATTTATTTCTAATTTTAGAAAACAAGCGTCTAGACTATTTCGATTTAATTAAAAAGCTTATGTCATTAAAATTCAATTCAGTCATAAAAAAAAAATATTGACTTTTGTTAATGTGTTACCAAACAGAAGTTTATCTAACCCTTGAGAATTTACTATTTAAACAATTATCGACACGATCTACTCCAACTTTGTATTTATCAAAAGAAAAAATTCACCGCAAGACGTTTCTAGATAAATTCATTACTTTACCCAAACTTGAAGGATTACCAAAACTTGAAGGATTCATGTATGTACTTACATATGTACACCTTATCTTTACTGTATATTATACATACGTACGTACGTACGTATGTATAATATCTTTTAGAAATTTTGGCTTTTATAGTTATGCTAATTCTAGATTATTTAGTATAACAAATAATCATTATAAAAAGATAAATGGCTGACCCCATTGATAAACATTACACCAAACGTAATGATCAAGGGGAAATTTTAGTGTTTGACCTTTTAACAATTTTACTTCAAATATTGATAAATAAAAAAACGTAACGTGACCAAAATATGCGGGGTATGACACCCTGACCAAGATATAAACAAATATGAATGTGTAATACAAATTTAAAACATATATACTAATGAAGAAATATCTTAATTTTCGGATCGGATGTTCATTTCCGTGTATTAGGGGTTTTATTTAAACTTAATCTATGTATAATTTTCACGTTAATACTTTTTCATATTAAATTATCTTAAAATATATACCGATTTTTACGTAAATAATTTCTTATTAATACATTTCTTATATGATCCGCATTTTTTTTTTCTCGAATTTTTTTTTAGTTATTTCATGTGTAACCGAATTTCGTTACTGCTACACAAATGATTTCATAAAAAAAATATATATATATATTGTATCAAAAATCATAAATTCTGCGGGTCGGACGATTTGTTAATTATACCGAAAGTCATGCAATTTTCTTCTTGTGTCATATACCAAAAAGGTTTATATGCATTCATATAGACCGAATTTAGAAGTCATGTTATAGTTTGTTGACGCGATTTTACTGCTGGATTATTTTATCAGGCGTACTAGCATATAATTATCACACTATTCAAAAGTGCTCTACTAAACAGTTTCGGTAGAATGTTCTAGCCAAATTTGGTTACAATTGTCTGATATAAATTTGAGAGGAGAATCAACTTGCGATTAGTAAGTGAAAAAGTAAGTGAAATAGTAAATGAAATAATAAATGAAAAAAAAAATTAGACAAAATAAAAAAAAATTCGAGAATAATTATTTTTATAATTGGTTTGTATATTCTAAACCTTTTAATGTAAAAAAAAAAAATTCATATATGCATTGATAAATCTCTTAAATAATTACATTTAAGAGATAAATTCCAATTAGTTGCGCCCAAAAAGTGCAGGAACAAACACAATGCAGATTTAGTAATCAGTATAACTTATGCCTCGTGATGAATGCAGTTTTTTGTACTCCTGGTCGGAACAAAATTCCGAGGACCTCATATAAAAAAAATTCTTCCCCATAAAAAATAATCGTCACGATATTTAAAAAATTATTTGAAATTTATTCTTTAAAAAAACTTTAACCTTTTGATAGAAATAATCAATATAATATATACTTTATATCCATTTTTTTCTAAAAAGTACTTCATATTTATCGCGAATAACATTGATCAAAAAAAAATAAAAATTTATGATGACTATGCATACATCTTCTTTGAATGATTTGGCTCAAAATCTGATCAAAATTTTGGATAGAAACAATATTTTTCCTCCAGCTATTAATAAACCAGAAGATTTAATAGGTATAACAAAACCAGACACACGTACAAGAAGACCACCAAATGGATTTTTATTGTGCCGCAAGAATGTTCATAGGGAAGCTAGATTAAAAGGAACTTGCAATATGCGTGTAATATCAAAAGTTACTGGGATGTTGTGGAGAGAAGCTTCAGCTGAAGAAAAGGTATTTATTAAATTGTCTATCTAATATTACTATATATATATCTATATATATATCTATACATATATATATATATTTATTAATTTATGAACAACTTATCATTTCAAAGGAAACATATGAACAATTGGCACTTGATGTTCAAACTTTACATTCGCAAAAATATCCTGGATACAGATACCGACCATCACGTTCTAAGGCTGTGCCTTTATATCATCCATATTTAAATACATCTTCGGTACCTATTCTAACCCAGATGACTATTCCACAAGTTAATTATAATTCTCCATTATTATTACAACCTCAACAAGAATTTGATCTACTTCAATATTTTAATCAACCTCCATGCAATAATGTAATAGACTACAACGCAATTTATCCATTATATAGTACTGCATCTGCATGGAATGGAAACATTAGTTAATTAAAGATTTTTTTTAATCCTGTTTTTATACCAAAGAACCTTTTTTTTATACCCGAGAACCCCGAGAACATTTTTTTTATACTCGAGAACATTTTTTATTAGCTTTGTATTTCATCCACATTCGTATATAAGTTAGTTAGTATATAAGTTAGTTAGTTAGTTAGTTAGTTACTATATGCATATGTACAGTGCTCGAAAAAAGAAATCATTTAGATAATGATTAATCTAATTAATACAAGAGAACTCATATTTACTGAGCTATTGTACTAGTATGTTTGTTTTTGTTTTTTTTTCATAATAAGTTTTAGTTTCTATGATCTATGTCATTATGTTTATAAGGAATACATATTTTTGATCTTTTTTCTTTTTGATATTGATATTGATAAATATTAACTAAACTAATTAATATGTTTGATTATTTTTTTTTTTGTCTGGCCCTGTTTAATTCAGTTTCCTTGTTTTTTTTTTTTTTAGACAACTTTTGTACTTTTAGGATCAAATCGCAGATACATTAAAAATAAAAATAGGATCTTTATTATATTTAATAAAAATTTTAATAAATAAATAATTGAGAAATAATAAAATTAATTTCTATCATTCTATACAAATGAATAGGAAAACTAGGACAAGAATCTTTATTAAATCTGTGAAAATCTATGACAAAAATTTAGGGTATTGATAATTCTAATATTTCATATGAATACTTCCGAGTGAAAAACCATGAAATCAAGGATGTCTAAAAATAGATTTCTTTATACAACGGACATGAACTTTTAATCGATCCGACTAGAATAATAAGAATAATCAGTTGTGCTATTTTTTTACAGTAATATTTAGTATCGTTTAAAGCTCGTATTACGTATCTAAAAAAGACCATTTTTAAGTTTCTTGATTTTATATACATGTTTACTATAAATAAACGCTACCTAAAATCGTGATTAAGTCACGTGTGTATATCCATCTAATAAGAGTTCATTTTTTTACAATGACTCTTTATTGTAACCTTAAAAAGATTAAGTAAATTTTAATCTTGTTCTTAATTAAAAATTATTCGTCAAGACTTTCCTATACTAAATTTGTAATAAAAATCATAACATTTATTTATTTATTTATTTATTCTTAAATAAAGATTTCCTAACTTTGAATATAATTATATAGAAAACAATTATATCGATTTTTTTTATCATTAGAATAGTAAAGTCTCAATGAATAACTTAATGCTAAAAAAATCTCCTAGACAATTTTATGAATTTACCTCCAATAAATCTAAAACATCACTGTGAACAACCTTTAAAAAGTCATAATTAACTACTGAATCTAGTTTTATGATTTTATCATCATTTAGAACAGATGAAACGAAACTTAATTAAGGCTAAAAGAAAACAATTGGACCGAATCATATGTTTTTTTCACCGTTAAAAATGGTAATGTCTTAATTAACAACTTTAATTAATATAAAAAGAAAGGTTTATTTATTAAAATACTTTTTCTAGTATTTGGGTATTTCTCATTCTTTTTCTTTTATTTCATATTAAGAAATCTTTACTAAAAATTTAATTATTTTATCACATATTCAAAATGAATGTCACAAATAATTATTCTTTATGGTAATGATTCGACTCAAAAAAAAAAAAAAATCTTGCGTTCTTATCAAAAAGTCTATTACTGTATTATGATAAGTTAAAAGAAATTTGTGTGACTTATTTTTCCTTATTAAATATTTAATATAACAATGTATACCGTAAATGTACTAATTAAAAATAAATTCAGGTATAGTACAAATTATCCAACAAAGAATTCACAAAAGATAAGGTATATTGTACTGTTTCATGTCTGTGTTGCAAAAAAAAAAGCATATATATATATATATATATACTCTGCATTTACAATCGTATCTGGATTATATCCCTATATTTGAACAGAATAAATTTCCTTTTTTTATATGTTTTATGTATGGAAATCTCTAAAAAAAAAACTAAAGAAAAAAGAGGTGATATAACCCGGGTATGACTGTAAATAGTCCAGAAATTAAAAAAAAAACACATTTGATTAATAGAGATCTATGTTTTACGCTAGGTTATTTTGCGCGGAAAATATTGAAAAAGATGGATATTTAGTCAGTGCACTACGTTAAATGTATTTTATTATTTTATTAATAATTATTTATTATTTAAAGAAATCAGTTCTATGCAATATTGATTTTTGGTCAAAAGTTCGCAGTGAATGTTATAATCGTCATCATGATCGAGAATATCGAGAATTGATGTAACTATATTACAAAGTGTTTCACGAAGTCAAACTAGGAAGATAGTCCAGGTCCTATAAAGACCGACCTTGTGACTGTTTTAAGGACCAGTTCAAGATCTATCTTCATGACTTATTTTTACGAGTATTACAAACTTCTAAAAAGAAAACAGTAAATCAGTGGATTTATTCCATATCAACCCGACATAAACGTACGAAAGATAAAAAAACAAAGAAAACGAAGAAAATACCGTGTTATATCGTAAATAAGCGCTATCTCCTCTACCCATTTTTTAAATGAAGATTATCGGTGAATAACTTGGATAAAGATCTCATTCTGATTTCCGCTAACCTGAGATTTAAAAAAATGGGATAGAGGAAATAATGCTTATTTACGAATACGGTGACACGGGCGAAACGGCGAGTCAGTCGCTTGTCGATCGAATACGTCGTGTAACCTACGAACGGCTTAGTCGAAAAGAGGCGGTT